ATTGAGGAAGACATGACTGATTTCTCATGCCACACGACAGAGGTGCTCTGGCCATGACCAGGCTCTTGTGAATGGCTGCTCTGATCTGTGTTATGCCAAACACTCACACGAGGAACCCTCCAACTCCCAAGGTGGCAGAGGTGACTCTTTCCTTTTCTCCTGATAATAGCTACGCTGTTGTCGCAGGCCTTGAGTTGTCATGGTGATTCCAGACGGAACTGAAACAAAAGCATGCAGCATGCAGCATCGCCATCCGGTGGCCTGTCTGAGAAACAGAGGAGGGCCCTGGGAACTGGGTTTGGGTAGGATTTCAGAGAGAACCAGAGAGCTGAGACCCAGAGCCTAGAGACTGTTAGGCAATCAGGTGACCTTGCCTATTTTAGCTCTGCTTGGTCCCTGCTCCCACACAACTATTGGGGTGGTCACTTCCCTATCTGATTGCCACCTGGTGACTAATCAGGCCTTCAACAGGACAGAACCATTTACACAGAACATTCCAGAACTTAGGGCCTTCCTTAGGGAATGCCAAATTCACAAGAAAGGGAAGGATTCTTCCCTTAACAATGTACTGCTGAATCAAAGAGTTTCCGTTGCTAGAGAGGACTCTTTCCACCAAGCTTCATTTCTGTGTCCCTGGAAACAAGAGCTCTCAGATTCCTGGTTCTACAACTTACATATGAGTGATCAAGGACAAGTTAATTAACCCTCAGTTCCCCATCTGTAAAACCAGGCTGGATCGAAATACTTCTCTTGTAGCACTGTTGAGGAGATTAAACGCGACCATGCACGTGCCACTGCTAAACACTAGTCGCGGGCATATTGAGTGCTCAATCACTGTTAGATGTCCTGGATAGCAGCAGTAGTAGGAAATGCTTGTGACGCCGCTGGTGAGGGAATGTGATGATCTATGTGGCGTGAAGTTGTGTTCACTGCTCTGTAATTGGCATGTTGCTTGGCAAACTTCAAGAGCCTCACATGGTTCTGTCCGCCTTCCAAGAAAATTGAACAACAGGTGCCTGGGTTGTCTTAACTTATTCCAGGCTGCAGACAGTCTGGTTTGGTTTAAAAGCTCATGAAGTGGGTTGAAAAGCCTCCATCTCTGATGGCTCCCCTATCCCAGCAACTTTCCGGGGCATGCCATGAAATCAATGAGTGTTAAATTAATGCTCTCCTATCCCCAGGGAGAGCTGTGACAGCACAGCTTGCAGCTGCCCGTCAGAGAAGGAAACGACAGCCCTAGTGACACGCTGACTGCTTTTCCTGCCTTGGAGACGATGGGTCTCTGAATTACAAAGTGCAGGGTGTTAGGGCATGCCTATATGCTGGCTGCAGCACAGGATCAGGTGGCCATCACCTCGGATGTCCCAAGAGCTCAGAGGGATGGAGGGAAAGCAGTTAGGATTACATGCAGGTGACATTCTCTTTTCTAACCATGGCTTCCTGGGCACCTACCTGTGTCACCCAACTCCCTTCCTGGCAGCCCGGTTTAACAAGGAAGCTGATAGACCATCTCACATCCCCAACAACTCGGCTGCTTGGAACAATGAATGCATGTTTATACAGTGAATGGCTGCTGGAACTGGACCTGTTTGGGATTAATTACATGGAGGTACACTAGCTACTCAAAAAACATCTGAAGGCAATGGTAGCAGACTTCTGAGTTTCTTAGAAACCAGGACTGAGAGTCCGTTTAAGAATGAGCTTTCCAACTTCCAGCTGTGCAGTGAGGGCTTATCACAGAAACCATCAGCAAAGGAAAGACAGGCGTATTTGTCAAGGAAGGCATTGTAGGACCGTAGCAGCATCCGTGTGTGTGTGTGTGTGTGTGTGTGTGTGTGTGTGTGTGTGTGTGGCCCTGAGGCTCGTTTGACCTGAGACCTAGGAAGTTCAGCTAAGCATGCAACCCAGAGGATAATACGTCAGGTTCAGGGTCAACTCCAGGGACTGCTAAAGCTTGCCTGTGTAAACTCATTTGGCTCAGTCTCTGAGATTGCCCAGGATACTGTACTACGGGTGTTGAAAATCCGCTCAAAGGAGCATGGCAAGCAAATTGCCAAAGTGAGCTGGCTGGGTACATCCTAAACTGGGCATATTTGGAAGGATAGCAGCTAAGTCCAGAGCAGTCAGGAAGGAAGGATGGGGTAGAATAACCAAGCACAAACATCCGTTTGGTTCCTGTTACTGTCGCAACAAGTGCCAGAAAGACAATATCCAGGACCTCTAGGCTTGAAAGGGACAGTAACACTTTGAGACTGACCAATCAGTTACTCAAGAGAGAGAGAGAGAGGAGGGGACTGGGAGAGACAAAACTCCCATGGACCATTTCTGAGTCAAAGGAGATGAAATCACTCAGCTAACCAGGGTATTCTAACCAAAGCCTTCTTATCAGATGATCTCCAGCCAAATGAGGAGAAATACAATCTACAGCCCGATGAACCCTAAATTTGATCTAATGGGGACCTGCTTTCCAACTGCTCAACAGCAGGTCAGAACCAGAGATGATGGACTCCAGCCCTGCCTGCGGCTTCTTTCTGGAAAGCGAGCCAGCCTGAGTTGTGTCAACTCCTGGTCTCCACAGAGGGTGAAGCATTGTTTTTACCCCCTAGCTAGTCAATTCCATCTGCTCAAAGTGGTGCTGTTCAGCTGGCGCTGTCTTTCCAGCCCGGGGGTGGGGTGTTCATAACCTCCTGACTGCTGTCAGATTGTTGCAGGGACACATTTCCTTTGTTTAAAAACATCCGGCTCTAGAATCTTTGATACACACCATTTACAAGGCTAGGCACTTTGGTGTCTAGCCTCCTATCTTTACTGTTAAACGGGCATAGCATTGTTCTTTTGATGCCTAACCTAAGAGGTCAATTCACACCAGCCTGGCTAGACATCCTGTCCCCTAAATCCACCTCCAGGCAGATGAGATTGTTATTTTTCTCCTGGGGATTAATGGCTACAGTTAACCAGCTTCTTGCTAGCAGTTATAACTTAGTTTATCTGCTAAGAGCAAAGGACATCATCTGTGAAACATCCAGATCCATATACAGCCCTGGCATGTCCTTCTACAGAACAGTCTTAAAGACCCACGGAGGGCTGGGGTCTTTGGACACTGCTCTGCCCAGCTACAGCCAGATAGAATGAGACAGAAGTGGAGGAAGAGACAGGAAAATTCAGGAAGTAGGTTTTCCTCTCTCTGGGTTTTCAGCTTTGTCAAACCAGTCTAATGGTTACTGTGCTGGATCCACAGCCCAGAAGCTTCATGGACATATCATTCCAATGTGATTCATATTGTTATATGTCCTGGAACAACCTGTCCAGGGACTTGGGAGTTTAGGGTGTGGAACAATGAGATGGGGAGGGCCAGAGGAAGTCTTACTTCTCCTTTCTAAAGTGTCCCTGTGAACCAAAACCACACATTCCCCACATGCCTCTTTGTGTCTTTGGTCCTGTGTGTACTACCCTTTCAGAGATCTGGCTGGAAGACCTGGTCTATAAACTTATATTTTGGCTCCTCCTAACTGTACAAGGTGACAGGGAGTCTGGAGCCTCTTTTCACTGGGAATTGGAGGTGATGTATCTTTCCTTCTCCCCTCCTCCCTCCCTCAAGAACCAAAGGTAGCCAGCCTGCCACACACTCATAACTTCCGCTTCAGCTTAAGGCCTGGAATGAAAGGCACACACCGCTTTGGCTTGGAGGTGATTTCTTCCTTCTTTCTTTCTTTCTTTCTTTCTTTCTTTCTTTCTTTCTTTCTTTCTTTCTTTCTTTCTTTCTTTCTTTCCTTTCTTCCTTCCTTCCTTCCTTCCTTCCTTCCTTCCTTTCTTTCTTTCTTTCTTTCTTTCTTTCTTTCTTTCTTTCTTTCTTTCTTTCCCTTCCTTCCTTCCTTCCTTCCTTCCTTCCTTCCTTCCTTCTTCCTTTCTTTCTTTCTTCCTTAGAGACATTTACATGCAAATCTGTACTCCTATGAAGGCCTGTGAAATCCTGTCATGTACTGTTCTGAGGGCTAGGAGCCTTTAGAAATCTGACTATGGAGAGTCTACTCACTTTCCATACTTGCTTTACTGGGTAATACAGGGTGAAGTCATTTACCTTTCTGAGAGTTGGCCTTCTCCAATGCTCATAGGGTCTTCAAGGTCAATTCTTAATACCAACAAGAACTACAACAGTCATAGAGTAAATGTATACTCATTTGCACACACACACACACACACACACACACACACACACTCTCTCTCTCTCACACACACACACACACATACACGCACATCACACAGAGTCCAAAAACCATAGCACTTGAGTGTGGATGTACCAGTCATCTGATCAGAAACCAGGGATGATTCTTGTTCATCATAAAATCTCCTAAAATAAGTTAAATTCCTTTCTCTATTTCTCCACATCAGAGTTCAGTTATCTTCTTTAAACATTTGAGCTCAAATGAAATGACAAGAATGAAATAAATGCAAATAAATAAGCCCAGGGCTTAACACTTGAGGCAACAAATCTTTCTTTAAATGAAATAAACAGTTTCCCCTCAGCCTGTCTTGCCAGATAGCCACACTGCTGACTAGTTATGCTCATCTCCAATGGCTTCTCCCCACCCACACCCTTCACAAGGTCACATGCCTATGGGCGGTTGTTTCATTTTTCAGAATAGCTCTTGCCTTGGGAAGGTTGTGGTTCCCTAAATTCTCAGTACACCTCTGTAAGATATTTCCTCTTCTGGGATTCAATTTCTTTCTTCCTTTCAAGTCATGAACTCATTCATGACTCACAGTGGGGCTGGGGTTCTGGACTCTATCATCCAGGCTTATGTGTACTGGCCTTGGTGTTCTCTGCCAACTCTTCGCCTTCCTGGCCACAACGATGCCTTGGAGAGGAGAGATGGAACACACAGAGGCTTTGGTGCCCCATATGATAGGCGTAAAGTTAAAAGAACGCTCCAGAGGATGGCTTAACATTTTCCGTCTACAAAAACAGTCCCGGGAGGCAAGAAAGTACAGTTCCTACTCACAGCAGCTGCAGGGATACAAGGCCATCAAACAGTCCCTTGGGAATCTCTGTGATCTTGTTCCCATAGAGCACCCTGGAAGAAAGCAGATGACCACGATCAGCAGGATGTAAAGGAGGTCAGCTCTGGGGGCAAGATCTCAGGTCACCTGCCTTTCTGGTCTACCACCTCCATCCCGTCTTCGTATCACTGAGACAGAGGAAGGCAGCTCAGAGGAAATCCTGCACTGGGGGTGAGGTACGACAGGCTCTATCCTGCTGCACTCCAGCCCAGCCCAGTCCATCACCCCCACAAGGAAGAAGCAGCCAGCCCTTTGTAGTACCTCCTGAGCTGCGAGCGTGACTCACATCCCACAGTAAATAAGCAGCATGGGAGTCCAGCCGGTGTCTTCAATGGGTATTGATTAGGCTTGAGCCAGCCTACAGAATGTTTCCTTTTAATATCCCCCTGCATCCTAGGAATTCCTGAGCTGAGTTCTTTAATCATCCTTCTAGACAGCAGGGCTTTGGGTATGCGGTGTGTGTGTGTGTGTGTGTGTGTGTGTGTGTGTGTGTGTGTGTATCTCCAGATGGCACAGGCATTGCTGAGTTGAGGCCTGGCTCAATGGGGAGGCTGAGGAGTTTCGCTGTCTCAGATGATGGCAGCTTCCATTCTCCATCCACCTGTCCCACTCTTTCAGATCTAAGAAGGAAGGACTCAGATTTTTTTTTTTTATTTCATCTTTCACCCCTACACTGGTGCCTGCTATTTCTAGGCCTTATGTTTGGTGACTTGAGAAACCTGGGAAAGGAATAGGGGTTTACTTTTCAAGCCCAGTGCTCAGCAGGTCTCCAAACCTGGAATTGAGACTCCGGTCCTCTCTCATGACAGACTTTGATGTCTGTGGGGTCTAGCCTCCTCTTTGATCAGGAAACAGAGCACTTGGTTGGCTTTCTGTTAAAACCTCTTCTCAGGTCTGAGTACATGGACTATGTAATTATTTAATTCCCACTCAGATCCAGAATCTAGGCTGACAGTCATTTGAGGAGGCAAAATCTTAGGAGGAAGAAACGGTGAATGAGAGTGAAACAGTCGCCTGCTCTCCCCCACGGCTGCCGATTTCCAGAAGCCACTGGGAGCGAAGAGTGAGTTCTCCATCAGCCTGCGGGTGTGTTTCATTAATGCCTCAACAAATTAATGACTAAATAGAAGTCAGCATGATGGCACAGGCTCACATTTGTAATTCATATTAATGTCCCACTGCTCGCTGTGCCAAATGTAGTAACGCCACTGCCTGTTCATCTCAATGGATGTCAGAGCTTCTGGAGGGGCAGAAGCTGCTGGAGGCGGGGGTGGGGATGTTGGGGTCAGGGTCCTCATGTAGCCCACCACTCCTTGGCATGAAACATCCTCAAGCTGGATGGGTCAACAACTGGCCTGCGCATCAGCCTCAAGGGTGCCAGCCTGCGGACCTGTGTGGCTTCCCACCCGAGGCCTTGCCTCGATTACCTTCACTAGCCTTTTACGTTTGAGCCCCAGCATGCCTCCCTCTGGAGAAGTCTCCTGAATGTTTTAGTTAAGATTTTTTCTACCATCTACTATTTCATTTTGCTTCTCCCTAGCACTTACTTTATTTTATGTTATGTTATTACTTACGCATTTATTTAGCTTTAGTTTATTTATTTATTTATTTATTTATTTATTTTTTCATTATTTTATATGTATGGGTGGTTTGCCTGCTTGTATGTCTGTTCACCATGTGTGTGCCTGGTACCTGCAGAGGCCTGAACAGCAGGTCAGATCCCCTGAGACCGGAGTTACGGCTGGCTGTCAGGTAGGCACTGGGAACTGAACGTAGCTCGCCTAGAAGAACAGCCTGGAGACTGCTAAGGCATGCCTCCAGCCCCTTTAGGCTTGGTTTTCATGTTCTTCCTTGAACTCCCCTGAATGTTTTGATGGGTATAGAGCATGCCCATGCCTGTAGTACAATGAATGTCCACTGAGTGAATGTATCAACTGGCCTGGGCTAAAGTCTCTCTACCCCTCTACCCTACACTGTCGGCTTCATGAGCCCTGGGTGCTGGGCTACTCAGTTCCTGGTCACATTCTTAATGCCTATAACACTGCTCACTTATACAGCAGGCACCTACTAAGCGGAGGAATGGATAAACAAAAGCCGAGAGGTGCTTCCCTTACTACCAGGTCCGCACCTCCCAGCTCACTACTGCTCGGCCAATTTCCTGTTTGGTAATTTCCTCAGCAAGACAAGCATCATCCCAGCATCTTCAGACTGTTCCCAAATCTTGGCCAAGGGAGACCAGACGAGGGGAATGGAAAGGTTGGGCTGGGATCCTGGGGGCAGGGGGCCTCTCTGTCTCTTCTACTCTGTGACACTCATCACAATAAGCAGACACTAATCTCACACAAGGCCCTGTCTTTGATATCCCAGCCAGATGTTCTATTAGATAAATGAAACTAATTTACTCAGCAGGCAGCAGACACCAGCTGAATCAGGGACTTCCTGTCCTCGGCCCCTGCCCAGTAGGATGGGAAGATATGGGCACCTTGTTACCCACACGCTCATCAACTAGGCAAACAGGTTGTGGAGAAGAAAAAAACACAGATAGCGTGCCTGTGAGCGCCCCTCTTTGTTGTCTGGGGTGTCGAAGGGAACAAGGCACCAGATGATAGAAATATATGAGTTGATGAAGCCACTACGGCGGCTGATGCTCCACTTCCCACATTATACAGAGAGGGCTGTGCGGCACAGCGATCAGGAGAGCAGTTCCAGACCAAACACCCTGTGTTTGTATCCTATGTTCAAATCCTACGTGTCACACTCATCAGTGTGTTTTTAGAAAAATGTTTTTTCATGTCTTTAGCATGCTCTCTGTCTTCCCCCCTCCTCCCTGAGATGTATGCCAGTGAATGTGTTTATAGGGGTGGGGTGTCAGGGGGAAGTTTGCTCATCCGTCTGTATGTGTGGCGGCCGGACATTCATGTCAACTAGCTCCCTCGATTGCTTCTCATTTTCTTTTTGAGACAGGGTCTCTCAGCTAACCTGGAGCATCCCGTTTCAGCTAGACCAGCTAGCCAGTGAGCTCCTGAGATCCTCTGCTCCTGGGCCTAGTGCTCTGCTTGTATGGAGATGCTGGGGATCTAGATTCAGGCCCTTATGATTGAGCAGCAGGTACTGTTCTCATTGTCATCTCCCCAGCCCTGAATCTTTTCTTTAACCACTATGTGCCAGGTCCAGTTTGAGGGCTACAGATGGGGACAAAAACAGTTAGGGGGCTTAGATACACGGAAGTTGATGCCACGCTTTGTTTTTGAGAGGATTCAGCCTTTGACACTCCTAGAATCGTACCTCCTGGTCACAATCAGTTGCTTGATGAATGGTACCAATTATTGCTATTACCGTAACATGTCAGTCACCAAGTGTGTTAGGCAAGGAGGGGATCGCTGTCTCCAATCTGCCTCAGGAAACATGCAGAGAAGGCTCAAGGGTTTGCCTATCACCCATGCGAGGTGCTGAGGGAATGAGGGCAAAACCCCACACCTTCTTAGCCTGGGAGTCTAGCGGTTCTTGGTAGGTGAGGGTTTGTACCTCACCACTAGGCTAAATGAAAATCCAAGAAAGTAAGGGTGACGGGATGGAGTGGATCCTTTCTGAACAAGGACCACAAGGCTGGAAATAGCCCAAACACCAGAAAGAGGAAACACTGCCCTCCTTCGACAAAGCCACAGACTGTGGGAGGAGGGGTGGTGAGCCATCGGCCCTCACCTCAGACATACATTACCATTCTCTCCACCCCATCTCCCCCGAGACAGCCCTGCGCAGCATGAGCTGGGAGGGGGAGTGAGGTGAGAGTCAAAGATGCATTCGAATTAGAAGCCAATAACTGGGAAAGCTGCTCGGCACTTAATCAATAAAAATAATGCATGTTAGCTGTAGAAATATTCCCCAAGATCAATTTCCCCCGAAGAAATATTTGTTTCTTTTACCAGATTGCCACAAGTGGGTGAGGGAACATAAAGCCTTGATAAACACCTCGTGAAAAATACGGACGAGCCTCCCACCCCTGCCCCACTTACAGCGACGTGAGTGATTTCAGGCCCTGGAAGGCATCTGGAGCTATGTCCGATATCTGATTCTTGCTGATGTCTCTGAAAACATTAATGGGAGAGTCTGAGAACATGGCTCACAGGTGTGATAATGCTCTTCCTGAAGTACGCACCCAGCAGTTCAGCCATTCAAAACTGGTACAGGTTAACTGATCAATCACGCAGTTTTTTTATTCGGAGCGCAAGAGGCCATGCCTAAAGAACACCTCTCTTACTGCCTTGGGGTACCGTGTGCTGCCTTTGCATGTCTTCTCTGGGTCTAAGAAACAGCCACCTAAGTCTTGCCTGGCACAGAAGGCTATGACCATGTCGGTCACTACTGTTTAGGTGTAAAGCCACATCCAGGAGCTGGGGATGCTGGGCAGGCTGATGCCCTCTGATCCCAGGGTGTTAGAGGTTAGGGAAGGAGGATCAGGAGTTGGAGGCCAGCCTGTGCTACACAGGGACACCTTGTCTTAATAAAATGAAGCAAACGAAACAAAACCAAACCCCAACCAACCCCCACCCCCAAAACAAACCAAAACCTAAAACCAAACAACACCAACAACAAAGAGTGAACCCCAAACCAAAACCAACCTCAAGCCAGGGTCTTGGTCTCAGGTGCCATTATCAAGTATTTAACAGTACAGACAAAGCAGCATGGACCCTGCCCAACCAAAGGCCAGGCCAGGCTCCTTTATGCATCGCTCTCCTGTCTTGTACCGCAGTAGTGATGATCATCTAAAAAGATCCACGGTATTTCCTCTCCCCAGTCATTTCTCAACCCTGACCTGGCAGGCTCTCTGAGCAAGGATGATGCCTCCTCTCAGCTGTGTGGTACAAGCAAATCACAAGACTCTCAAAGAACACCTTTGAGACATGGATGTGTCACTGGCTGAGAATGCGCCTCTTTTGGGAACAAGCCCGGGGAGATAACAACACATCCAGAGATTAAGAGAACTACTGTCGTGTAGCAGAAGCTTCCAAACACAGGGCATATGGTGGCTGGCCTGGCATCAAGGGTGCGGTGGCTAGCCTGGCCTCAAAGGTACAGGTGCATGGCTAGCTTGGTCTCAGAGGTGCAGGTGCAGTGGCTAGCCTTGCCTTAAGTGTGCAGCTGCAGTGGCTAGCCTGGCCTCAAGGGTGCAGGTGCAGTGGCTAGCTTGGTCTCAGAGGTGCAGGTACAATAGCCAGTCTGGTGTCACAGGTGCAGGTAGCCCTCTGCTGTACGATTTCAGCATGCCACCGAGAGCCGGGCCACAGGTTCTTGTTAATGGCCCTTGTGGAAGGGGATTTCTTTTCCTCAGAGTTATTAGCTCAGGGCTGGCCTTTGGGCTCCTGTCACTGGCAGGAGAGGCGCACCAACTTCCTGTGACAAGAAACCCCTCCAGTTCTCTTCCTTCAGCAAAATAAATCAATGGGTCCTTCCTTTTTTGTGGGAGAGGGAGGTCTGAGGTCTTCACAGGCCAACAAGGAGGAGACAAGTGGATATTGAGAAAAAAGCACATCTGAGGAGATTCGTAAATGATGGTCTCCAGTGAGGCCAGACACCCGGCTGCCCAGCCTCTTAAACTCACACAAAAGGAGGAGCTTTGTCCTGTCTCCCTCCTTCATTTAACAGCCCTGGAAAAGGCCATGCAACAGCTTTTCCCTAGACCTCTGCCCCCTTCTGTCCTGCTTCCAAAGCCTGTAAATCAAAAGATATGTTCCCAGGTTAAGGCCCCTTCTGCACAACTGTCTGGTTTATCCCTTTAGCTGACGAGATTGCCTCAAACAAATCCAGATTGTGCTCGCAAACTCGTCAGCTTACACTGGGCTTTTCTTCAGCATCCCGATTTTGTGTAAGGGTCTTAACAAGCAAATACCCTGGATTATCCTAATCTTGCTCACCCCTCAGGGTGGCTGCCTAGCAAAGCATTTTAGAACAACACACAGTGTCTTATCATATTAGAGAGGATGCCCATCTTGAGTCCTTCCCCCTCGTGGGATGTCCGTTTGTGGTATCAGACCTCCTGCATACGGGAAGTCCCTCATCCACTGGGAAAGATCCCTGCCTCAGCTATGGGGGGACAGATTGGAATCTCAGTTCACAATGAGAACTTCGGGGCCCAACCCTTTTTGGGTGATAACACGAGGTGCGATATCTTATGGTTTGGAAGTGATGGATGTTGGGAAATAGGAACGTGATAGTTTGGTAGTACTAGATCCTGGGGGTGACCACTTAGGCTTTTTCTCCCTGTAATTTTTATTGTATGCATTTATATATTTGTAATGTTTTGGAATATTTTCTCACTGTGGAATGGTTAAATTAAGCCATTTGGCATATCTGAAACCTTGAAAGTTATCTTGTGAGGACACTCTAAACCCTCACAAATCTTCAAGTAGACAATATATTGTTATTAACTATAGCCATCATGGTATAGGATACATCTTTTGAGCATCTTTCTGTTGCCCAACTGAGATTCTGTATCCTTGGACCAACATATCTCTGGCACTACCCCATCTTCACATTGGCCTTTAGAGTGTCATCCTACCTGTTGTTTCTCTGAGGTGGAAATTTGGATTCATGTAGATGATAGTTAATTTCAACTGTCAACCTGACTGGATTTGGTATCACCTAGGAGACACTCTGGTTGTGTCTGTGAGAGTGTTGCAAGACAGGATTAACTGCGATGAGAAGATGGACCCTGAATGTGGGTGGCGCCATTCAATGGGCTAGGGTCCCTGACTGAATAAAAGGGAGAGGAGAAAGCCAGCTGAGGACTAGCATCCCGCCCTCTCTGCTTCATGACTACTGACTAAGATGGCCCTCTTACGTCTTTCTATATCTTTCCCAGTATGATGGACAACAGCCATTTTAGTTTTAAAAAAATTATGTGCATGGGTATTAGGCTTGCATGTATGTCTGTGCACCGTGTATGTGCAGAGGCCAGAAGAAGGTGTCAGGTAACTGTAGTTAGAGATGGATCCCGATAACGTGGGTGCTGGGAATCTAACCCACATCTTCTGGAAGAGAAGCCACTGACCTCAAATGCCAAGCTAGCTCTCCAACCCCTGTGTCCTTTCAAACTAACCAGAATGGACCCCCCTATCCTTATGCTGGTTCTGTCAGGCATTTGGTAGAACCCTAACTACTTCGACGTATAAGTGAGACTGTTTGGGACTTACAGGAAGTAAGTTTGCAGAAGAAACAACCACCCTTGAGAGGTTAAGGATCTAAAGCCGCCAAGGGCTTCACATACACATTCGGGTAATGAATGAATAACTGTATGTCAAGACTGTCAGCTCAAGGCTGTTCCTGATGTCACTATGCTAAACACAGGACACTCAGTCTCAGCTGGGGCTCAAACTCCAGAGATTTGTTAATCTGGATGTTAGGGGCACCAGAAAAACATAAATCTGTGTATGTATTAAATCTATAAGAAATGTGCATGCAGGCGATCCCTACATCATACCAGAAATATTTCAGAATTTAGAAACACAGAGACCCACTCAGACCCTTGGGGCTATAAATGAAATGACTAAGAGAAAGTGGCTTTTCAAGGCTGGAACAGAGGAGGCAAATTCAAATACATATAAGGGATAAGCAGGGAATAAGAGAGTAAGATACTGGGAAGTCTTACAACCTGTAGAAGATTTGTTCTACCCATGAGCATTCAAATGAAAAGAACCTTTTTGTTTTTAAGACATGGTCTGGCTATGTTGCTCAGGTTGGCCTCAAACTCACCATCTACATGCCTCAACCTCCTGAATTGGGATTTCAGGCCTGTACCACCACATTTGGCTTCAAAGAATGCTTAAACCACCGTTTTAGCAGAACAGCACAGAGTTGCCCCTCAGGTGTTAGAGTTGCCAGGAAATTAAGTCCATAATACCAGCAAATGGTCTCCAGTACCCCATTTCTATATTGGTATGGGTTCTTCCCTGGCAGTATTTATTTTAATATTGTGATATCATTAGAAAAATGGATAGGAGTAGAGCTAATGATTCATGGATAATTCTGTTTTTTAAAGAGAGACCAGGATGTGCTCAGCCACAGTTGAAAGGGCGAATTTCCTCTTGTTAAATATTATGTATAAACTATTAATGGTCATCTATGAGGAAATCATTACTATGGGCTGAATCCATTCTTATCTGAGACTTGTCTGAGCCTACACCATTAAATAACAGTCTATATTTCTGAAGTTCTATTAGTTAAGCAAGTTTAACTGGATTCTTTTTCCTCCTACCACCCCTTTTGGGGGGCAACATAATAAATATCAGTAGCATCAGGAGTGATCAAAAATTAAATTCACTTTCCAGGTCATGACTGATAAGGTCTTATGAATTTTGAATGTGCCAATCATGGCAACTCCAATAGGATGGAGAAACGACAGTAAAACACAGCCAAGCCCTAAATTACCTGGACTTTACAAAAAATTAGAACAGTGACTTAAATCATGCAGGAGCTATAGGTTGAGGGCAGTAAGTGAACTTGTCATTTTTCACCAAAATTACTATCTGGCTGCATAATCAAGCTGGGATTTAAAAATGAATTTGGGGGTGGGTGCATGGAGAGCGGGCTGGAGAAGCAGGAATACCAAGAGATTAATGACCCGAGATTTTAAATATTAAGGCCTATATTTATACAGCTCCTTCAGAGAGGATGCTGCCAAGGCGAGGGAAGGAGCCTGTGCTTTGAGCTGGCTCATTATATTGGTTTCCACTTTTGGAATTGTACTAGGAGAATATCTTGTTTGCTTTGGCTTTCCAGGGAGATGGGAAGTTGGCTTCCTGAGATCTGAGGGTAAGCCTACTAATGCCACTGTTTCGTGGGCATATTTATTTTTAACATGAAAGGAATCGGGAGACCTTGTTGATACATGCCCCTCCCACTCCAGAGGAGCCAGCTAACAGGCCTGGCATACAAAGAGAGACAGGATGGAGGCCATGCCTGTTTCTCATTCTCCAAAGGAATGAGAATAGCACAGCGAGTACAAGGTCAGGCTTGTGGTTTCCCAACATGGTAATGGCAGAGGGGCCACCCTCTAGAACCCTAACCCTTGTGATGGGTCACTTCTGAGTCCCACTTGCCTCCCTTCAAATACTTCAGTGCTAAGGAGCTCACAGAGAAGGTTTAAGGCCATCATGTGATTGATACTGTCCTCCATGGCAGAGATGATGCAGGAATGCAGTCTCAGGCTGCCATGGTAGGGAGGACACAGCATGCTGACAGCACCAGCATTGTGTAATGGTGGATGTGGTGTTAGTAACTGCGGTTCTGGGGATGGTGGGTTTGACCATGGTCAATTCATATGACTACGATCTTAAACCGTATGCCTATATGTTGGGCATAACCTCCAGGGCTAGTAGGTGTCCCTTAGAAGGGGAAGCCTTTACCATGGTCTCAATTGCTCATGTGACCTAGCCTTTACCCACCCCTCCCAACAATTCTCACCTCCCCTTGATTATTCCTCCTCATTGGCTATGAGCTACCATGCACAGTTTCCATGCCTTTCATTTGCCCTCACTGTTGACTAGGACAGCTTCTTTCTTTCCTTCTTTCCTTCCTTCTTTCTTTCTTTCTTTCTTTCTTTCTTTCTTTCTTTCTTTCTTTCCTTCTCCCTTCCTTCCTTCCTTCCTTCCTTCCTTCCTTCCTTCCTTCCTTCCTTCCTTCCTTCCTTCCTTTCTCTTTCTGAGACAGTTTCCCTATGTAGCCTTGGCTGTCCTGGACTCGCTTTGTAGACCAAGCTGGCCTCAATCCACCTGCCTCTGCCTCCCCGAGTGCTGGGATTAAAGGCGTGCGCCACCACGCTCGGCTAGCTTATCAGTTTCTGCTATTTATTTCCTCATTGTCTGTGCTCTCCCAATTGAAGTGGCAGCTCCATGAATGTAACTTTTATTTTTGTTGATGGCTCTATCCAGATTCTGGCATGTAGCAGCCATTTATATGAGCACGTACATAGTTGTAAGGATGTTAGCGGTGGCAGGACAGGAGGATGTGAAGCCACTATCACACTGCTGGTGTTATCACCAAAGCCAAGGGCATTAAAGCAGGCCAATATGTCTCTGGGGGAGGGGAAACTCATCTGCTTCTCACACAAGGATAATCTTACTGGTCAGAGAGGCTCTTAGCTCTACATGCTGGAGCTTACAAACCTTACCACACATATAACAGTTTCTTACAATCTCAGGAGAACAGCCTAGAGCCCTCTGAGAGGAGTGGCTATGATCAATCGGTTGGGTGGCATGCCTACTACTCATTGTAAAGCCCTCTACCCATCCACCCCTTCCCCATGGAAACATTCTGATCAATTCTTCCCAAGGGAAACTCACATTCGCTTCAGTTTCTTGTACTGGGTGAAGGCTCCTGCAGGAATGGATTTGATGGAGTTCTGTTCCAGTCGTCTGGAGAACAGAGAAGAGAAGAGTCGATTGACCAACCACTTATCAACAAGAGACCACTGAGGGGCTGCTCTATTCTCTGGCCTTGAGGACAAGATGGTGTCTCTTAGCACAAAGCACAAGGGCCCAAGGCACATGTCCTGGTTGAAGAAAACAGGACAAACATGGCAACAGCCACAGTGTTTAGGTGTTGGCCTACAGAGAAAGCTGGAAAGAGGGCTTTCCAAGAGCTTCAATGCCTGCTTATTACCAGTTACCTTTGGAGGCAGCTGTGTTCTTCTCTGAAGAACACAGGAAGCAATCAAGCAGAGTGTTGAAAAAGTCGATGTCACGAAGAGAATGAGATGAAAGAAGAAAGATGGACCATGGGACAGCTGTGCTTCCCTGCCATGAAACCATGTCACTAGTTGACATCTCAACCACACGGCTAATGGGCAGGACTGTCAGCACCTGCACTCCTTTAGGCAGTTTTAATACTGAGGAGAAACAGCCTTAAAGTCTTTAGGCTTTCTGCCTGATACTTCTCAATCAGCTCTCTGAGACCTTGCAAGTCTCAGGGTCCAGGCTGGACCCTTGAATTGCTGCTGGAATGTGTACCTCATACTTTACATGAACTTTCTCAAGTGCTTCCACTCTTAGGACTCTGGGAGGAATAAGAGATGCTGTAGGCCCAGTGCCCCAGAACATACTTGGAAGAGAAGCATCCATGGGGAGTGAGTGAGCCTTTCCAGTCTTATTATTTCATCTCTCAAATGCCTTCCTACCACTAAGAACCTGTGTAGTGGGAAACAGACATGAGCGGCAGGTGGGACGCTCTATTACAGATGATGAATGACACCCGAGCCCAGGCTGAGGACTTAGCATCTCATCCCCATCCATCTCTTTTCTCCCTCAGGTGCAGATTTTTTCATCAGCTTCTCATTTGGCGTAGCTGCTCCCCAAACTGGGGACACATACAGACACGCACACACACACACACACACACACACACACACACACACACACAGGAGAGAGAGAGAGAGAAAGAGAGAAGGAGGAGGAGGAGGAGGAGGAGGAGGAGGAGAGAAGTGAGAATGAGATTGTTTAGAGAGGATATGTGGGGTGCCAGAGGGAGAGAGGGGAGGGACCAGCTCCCTTAGAGGCGGTGTCTAGCGGATGCACACTTCTGGCAGGAAGGACCCATTCATCTTGAAGAGTAATCCCTGCTGCAGAGTGGGGGAGACAGTCGTATTAATTTGTGCCTCCACGATCTCATCTTCATTGGGGGAACAGAGTATTTGTTACTGGAACCGCTAATGGAGCAGTTTGCCAGCAATTTTCCCATTTCAAACAACATCTCAGCTGCTAATGTGGAATGGTTTGTCAGGCCTACCCATAACACAGACAAATCACTCTCTAGGCAAAAGGAAGGGGGAACGTGTGGGAGCCCAAAGAGGAAGGGAGGGCGAGAGGAGAGGGAGCATCAGGACAGATCATTCTTGGCTGCTGGATGAACACGGTTTACAAATGAGACTGCCAAGGTCTGTTAGCAATGTCTTTGTGCCCTGCCGGAGGGGGTAGGGAGGGCACTTTCCTGGGACTGCAGTCATAGGCAGGCTGGACAGGGGCCCAGTTGGCTAACTGGTTGGTGGTAAATAACCAATGCTTGCCATAGGGACTGTGGGACCATGGGCTACTGGAATCAGCTACCCTCAGAGGCTCCCCTGACAGACTTTCCAAGGACATTCTCATTTTCCAACTGAGCAGAGAGTTCAGCAGGGATTTCTCAGACAAGGCAACAGCTCTGAGGATCTCTGGGGGCAACATAAACTCTCCAAGCATCCTGTGAGTCACCTGCCACTCAGGAAAGGGATGTCATAGTTTGCTGCTTTTGGAGAGAACCACTGTCTGCAAGGATGGCGACCCTTTTTGCTTTCGTGCAGGTAAATTTGTGGCTCCTTGTGGTAGCTAGAGGCCCATGTATGTGAAGCAACGTTGGATAGAAACATCTGTGTGGTTTACAACCAGCCAGCCTCCACTTTGGCAAGTACTAAGGAAGAGGTCCTTCAATGAGCAGGATGGGACACCGGACCCCAAGGACCTTAAGAATCTATTGAGAGAGTCGAGCTCAAGACGGCCCATCACAAAACGGAGTTTCACTGCTATAAAAATCAAGACAATTATTATAGAGTACTATTATTAATAAAGTGGTATTGTTTATCTTGATTATTTCTGTGAACCCTTACTCTTATGAGGCAAAGCTGTACTGGCCCCACGGGGAGACAAGGCAAAGGAAACTTTGAGGGATCAAAAAGCTTGTCAAAGAGAACAAAGCTAGTTAGTGGTGGAACTGATTAGTCCTGTTTCTATCCATTGGCTACACTTCTTGTCCATATTTATGAAAATGGGTGAAAAGAGGCTTTCTCCAAGTCAGGGGAAAGTCTGTGGCATAAGACCCACTGACATCATAGCTGTAGATGTTCAGTGGGTAGGCTCTCAGAGATAAGGGAAGGTGGGACAGAGAGGTGAATACTCTTCAGCTCTCTGGATCCATGGGCTCCTCGTTCAAAGACTGAAGCAACTGTGTTTTAAAAATATTCCTAAAAAGGCATCTTATTCAACATGGAGAGACTTTCCGGCCCTTATTACCTAAACAATACAGCCTAACATCCGCTTTACCCAGTATTGACACTGTTAGGTATTCGAGAGAGGACTTACAGTACATAGGAGGATGTGCACAGTTCATATCCATTTTATATAATGGACTTGAGCATCTGAGGACAAGGATTTTCATGGGGGCTCCTGGAAGTATCCCACTCATGCGTATATCATATGCAAATGGAGTGCAAGGGAGTGAGGTCTGAACAAGAAACAAATCACTCCAAGCTTAGTCTATGAACCCCGGTAGAGACCTTGGCTTACATCCTGCCTGCACTCCTCAGAGTTTCTTACCCTGGGAATGGGCTTTATCTGTATTCTCAGCCTTCCACTGGACCCTGAATGGAGTGACAAAGTTCTGGCATTCCCAGGAGGCAGTGAGAACTCTTTGAGTACTTGTGAATAGCCCATTCCCTTAAAGAAAGCAAAAGCAAGGGTATAGATAGCATTAAGAGCTGACGTGTCAAGTGTATATATGTTGGGCCCAGTTTGAGTTTTACACTGCATGTCAAATTTAATAAGTACACATTTGGGAGGTGCATCGATAAATTATTACCACCTCCATTCTCTCCCTCCCTTCTACCCTTTTTCCTTCTTTTGTGACACAATCTCCTTATATAGCCCAGGCAGGACTAGGACTTATGATCATCTTGCTATTGCCTTCCAAGTGCCAGGATTACAGGTATGCACCACCATGCCTTAAACATGAGAGAACTGAGGCTCAGAGAGGCAAAGACACTGGTCCAAAGTCAGGAGAAGCTAGAGCAGTGATTTCCATTCAAGTTCATCTGATTCCAAAGGCCTGACTCTCAACCACCAGGCTTTATTGAACCATTATTCTCCTCGTTCTTGCCAACTCATCAGCAGGAAAAATGGCCCTCACGTCAGGAGAGCGAGAGAGGTGCACATGCATACACGCAGACGCACGTGGGGACACGGTCTCACAGAACAAGGACCTCGAGGAGCTTGAACACGCCACCTGTCCTGCAGCTTGGAACAAGGAGACAGCAATCGAGTTCCCCACTGAAAATACTTCATCGTAAAGAACAAAAGGCAGCCTCAGCGTTAGCAAAAATCTGTCACATTTCGGGAACTGTCTGAAGCCAACAGCTGTTTGAGGGCTCTCATAACTGGCACATGTGTCTTGCTTTGTCTGGCAAACATTCTTCAGGCTGCAAACAGATTTAATAGAGCTAGCATAAAAACAAACATACAAATCAAACATCCAAACATCTTCCTGCATCAGCAGAAACAATGGGAACATTTGATGGGGAGATTTCAGCCGTTTTCACACTGTATTGATTTGCCCTAGTTCCTCAGGTGCTCCCTTAATGATGTCATTTGCAAACATGTGACTGAACACGCTATATTTCTGGCAATCCATAAGTCACCATGATGGCATTTGCAGGGGTATGTCTAGTATGGGGGTTATGCCTTATAAGTCACCCTATAAAAGAGATGTCGGGGCTATGACACAGTACTGGCAGTGATGAACATCCAGCATTTATGAAGGACTCTTGACTGTCACACACAGGGCACACAGGGTGCCCTTCATACTCGGGCTCACCTATTCCTTTCTCCAGTGCCATGAAGCAGGCAGTGCTGCTCTGCTGTGTTAAAGGAGTGGTCCAGGAGGTCATTTTGCTTAAGATCAGTAGCTAATGAATGGAAGCCAGATTGCTATGACCCAAATAACTGGCTCCTTAACTCTAGGCTCACCGACCTCAGGGTTGGGAAACTATCTTTATTCTTTTTAGTCCTTGCCGGTTAGAGTTTAATCGTCCTTGCTCTTAGTTTCTCCCTGGGTCAAAAACTCTCTCTCTCTTTGAAGTCACATGTACACGTGTTATGTGTGCACATGCATTTGGAGGTCGATGTTGGGCATCTTCCTCCAGCGGGCTCCGTGTTTACTTTTAGAACTGGGCTTTCTCATTGAACCTGAAGCTCGTGGATTCAGGTAGGCTGACTAGCCAACAAGCTCCAGGCATGTGCCTATTTTGGTTCCTCCCCAAGGCTGCCATGCCCTACTTTTCATGTGGCTTGTGAGGATCCGAACTCAGATCCTCAGACTGAGCCACATGTACTTAATGAGCCGAGTCACGTCCCGAGCACTTTGACTTGAGAGTGCTTGTTAGGATATCCAGATCCGGGGGAGGAAAGGAAACCCCATGCTTATCTGTTCCCCAAATTATCCTGAGACTTCTGCTTGGAGACCACGCAAGAAGAACTCAGGGTTCAGAGGTTCAGTTCTTGACACTCGACTATCCCTGGAATAGGACTGAAGATGATCCCTTTCAAGGTGTACCCTGGGCCCAGCCTCTGTGGTTCCGTTCTTTACCTTTTGCTCTGAGCAGTGAGGTGTAGTC